TTTGACCCCTGGGTATGTACTTTGGTGCGTGTGTTTCAGGTAAGTATAAGTTTTCAGGAGCAATAGGTTGCTGGAGTGCTTTACTCAAGTATACTAAATGTCGCAGAGTAGCAGGACTGCTTGCGCCGCAGCGACTTCGCTAGTTGAGATCCGTAGTTGAATATGATAGTTAGTACAGGTGACTGACACTGACAAAGTGGTGAAATGGTGCGGCTCTTATATACTGTAACAGAATGTTCTAGAATGATGTGCACATGTTAGCAAGGGCACATGGTAGCATGTGGACAGTTAGACTGTTCTAGAACTCCCTAGTAAGGTGTGATGCAAGTGATATCATGTTAACACTATTAGTCCAGGAAGCTACTTGTAGTTGTAAGAAAGTTCTAGAAGCTTCCAGTTATATTATAGTCTGACAAGTGTCATTCTCCAACACTACTTGTCACAATGTATTTTATCTTGTGTGTTCCCTGCCTTGAACCACTTCCATAATGTAGCTCAAGCATGTCTAGTCCATTCACATTCACCTTAGCCCCAGAAGTGGTTGTGTAAACTGTTTTTACAGGCACCACATACTTACTTAAGGCATACTTTTCTTATGAGACATACAGCAAACGTTTGACTTATAAGGTTTCGTGGTTAGTGAAGGGTGCCATCAGAAAGTAAAAGTTGCGAGGATTCCAATGGTGTTGGCAATACAATTGGTCATGACAATTTTTTGCTGGCTCAGGTGAAGTCAATAGACTTTAGGACTGTAGCTGTCATCTGTACGTAGCTCCACTCCAGTGTAGGGGACTGTAATCTTCATCTGTAGTGTCCAGTAGAAGTCTGTAGACACTGGACTGGAATGGACTAATGTTCTAATCACATAGAAAGGCAGTCGTAGGCTTGGAGGAAGCTGGGGTTAGTTGCTGCAGTCTTGTGCTTTAGCCAATGTAACAGGTTAGGGAGGAGAAACAATCACTGCATTTCGATAATACAGACAATGGTGAGGATATAACCTAGTATCCCACTTTCCCAGGCATATTGTATACCCTACAGTGTCTGGAGACCAGTCACACTGTATTGCCTGGGTGGTCTGGCAGGAACTAGACATGTGATGCTAAACATAGTGTCTCCATCAGGCCTCCAGTTGTGTCTCAGCTCCAGAAACAGACATGCAGGGTATACTGTGGCTTCTCGCAACTCTCCTGAGCATACAATATCTAAAGCCCTGGCCCAAGCCTGTCGCTCAGCCCTGGCTTCTGCCTACGCAGCATTTCCATGTCCATAGGATGAGCAGAAGCACACTGCACCCGTTCTCTAACACATGATCCCTCATAGTTGGTTGATTAGAGTCCAGTGTTTTACAGACTCCCTAATACACCAATGGGAACCACACCAGTTGGTACATAGTCTTGGCAATGATGCCAGTGTGACATGGTGTATTGGCAGCCTTTTAGCATGGGTTAAAATATCTATTATGTTGTTTATACTGGTCACGTCAACCCTATAGCACCATTAGCACAATGGAATACAGACCTAAAGTAAGTGAAAGCTGCTGCCCTATTCTTTGTATTGAGCACATAACATATGGACACATGTCGTTGTGAAACTATTTCGAAGGGGTGGGGACTTGGGAATAGGAATTCTAAATATTCGCAGGTTGTTGTAAAATAAGCCCCGCATTTGAGAACAAATTTTTTTAAAACCTCAAATTAATGTGTGCTCGTGTTGCAAGCTCCCATTAGCACAGTAATGATAGTGATGTTGAAACTCTGTGTTCTTCAGCATTCTCTTTTCTCTGTCATGACATGTAGGAGAGGAAGGAGAGGTTGCAGTCAGAGTTGAGTGAGTGTAAAGATGAGGAGAAGAGGAGAGAACTGCAGGAGAGGTTAAAAGAGTATGATGAGGTAAGTATCAATGTTATTATGTACAGACCTGTTGATAACTACATTTGCAGTTATACAATGATTTGGCCCATAAACGAGGTTTCTGATTTACCGTATACGCCTCAAATTTTACAGAATTAACACGAAAACTCAAACACATGAAAACAGGTCATTTTACAAGAAAAACAAGCTAATATCATGGTATAAATAGTTGTTTTTTATACCTCGTTTCTGCTCTCAGTTCTAACAGTTCTCGTATAACGAAATAGAGCCCAACCATGTACACAAACAGTATTTAGTAGTGTTTGAGGAATGTGGTCTTCCATTCCCCCTTCTCACCAAAGTTGGTCTTCCTCGACTCGGTGATTGGCTCGGCCTGCCTTTTTTTTGGAACCAACTCCTTTTTTCTGTATTCTTCATATTCTGCGTCGACCTGCACTCACAGCTCTGCAAACTGAGCCATCTTTGAAATCAATTGATAGGATGCCCAGTTGTGCGAAAGTGACGAACAGACCAAAGAGGATGTTTGCAAGTAGGGTGTGTTCGGTGGATATTCTTCGCTATTTCGCTTGCGCAGCCTCTCGGGTTTATGATCTAGTATTCATAGTCTAACATATTTGTACCAATTTCCTTGTACTGAAGTTGACACCAATGAGGCTAAACACATGAGGTTACCATTATTATGTTTCCACATGCACCAAAGCATGACTCACATACATCCCATCATATTATGTGTGCAGACATGAATCATTCATTGAGGTATGAAAGCAAGGCATGTGTGCAGCAATGACCCAATCAAAGAAAAAGAGCTGCCCTGGGTGGGACCTGAACACATGACACTCTACAGCCTATGCAGAGTGCTCTACACTACATGATAATTTGCTACACAAAGCATGCTAACAGATAAGCCTTATGTTGGAGCCCAAATCCCATGATTCCCCCAACTGCTATATACACTGCCATTTCCCCCACATTTAGACTAGGTAGGCTTGCTTTGTTCACCAATTAGATTTGAAGTGGACCACAGGAGAAGTTCCCAACCAAATGTTACTAATGTCCTTTCTTCTCTTGCACCTCTAGGAGTCAGAGACACTGGAAAGATTGCAGGAAATAATGGTATGTATAATAATTATACAGCTTTGTGAAGACCATGTCCGTACTGGTTTGGAAAGTTTGGGTGGCAAAGTCAGTACATTATTGTCAAACTCCATAACCAAAACTGCTGCCTGTTCTTGTATTGAGCACATCAGACATGAAACTGTTTTGAAGGGGAGGAAAATAGGAATTTTAAGTTTTCGCAGGTTGTTTGTACCACATGTGAAAACCTAAACCTCTCGAACTATAATGTTTGCTCTGTTGCAAGTTCCCATTTATGCACTCAGTAATGATAGTGATGTTTGAAACTCTGTGTTCTTCAGCATTCTCTTTTCTCTGTCATGACATGTAGAGGAGGAAGGAGGGGTTGCAGTCAGAGTTGAGGCAGTGTAAAGATGAGGAGAAGAGGAGAGAACTGCAGGAGAGGTTAAAAGAGTACAATGAGGTAAGTATCAATGGTTTTTGGACATTGATACTATTTGCCATTCTACATACGAATTTCAAAATTTCTTTTTGACACCAATGAGGCTAAATAAAGAAGTTTTCATTACGTTTCCACATGCACCAAAGCCATGACTCACATACACACCATCATATTTATGTGTGCAGACATGAATCATTCATTGAGGTATGAAAGTGAGGCATTGTGGGAAGCTCAAAAGAAAAAGAGCTGCCCTGGGTGGGACCTGAACCCATATCAGCTATGCAGAGTGCTCTACACTACATGATATTAATTGCTACACAAAGCATGCTAACAGATAAGACTTATGTTGGAGCCCAAAACATGATTTCCCCACTGCTACACTGCATTTGTTTCCCCCCGCATTCAGATGACTAGGCAGGCTTGCTTCACTCGCCAATTAAGAGTTAGGGTAAATTGAAGTGAACCACATAATGTACTTTCTTCTCTTGCACCTCTAGGAGTCAGAGTCACTGGAAAGACTGCTGGAAATAATGGTATGTACTTTGTGAAGTGTGTGTAACCATGTCCATACTTGGTTTGGAAAGTGTGGGTGGCAAAAGTCACTATGTTAGTGTCAAACTCCATAACCAAAGCTGGTCTTCCCCATTCCCTCCGAGTACTATTGCCAGTGGTCATCCTCACACTCCAGTCATGTGGCTGCCAGTGTTAGGTTTGCTGTAATGTCTTCTGTGCTTCTCCTACATGTATACAACTTCTTTGTGTTGAGGGAAGGCCCCAATTTCTTGTTCATAGCCCAATGCTCTTTTTGGTATGCACTGTATTGCATGCCTCTTGTCACCGAGGAATTCCAGGACCTCAGACACCAGCACACCAGTATCCCGATAAGACATTCGTTTGTGTAGTACCTCTATCAGGCCATGCTATAGTAGACCACAACTAGCTACGATTTTAGTGTGAGCATCTCGTCCTTTGACCTCCTGTCCCTCTGCTATGGGTGAGTGAAGTCGACAGTTTAGCTACTACGTACATGTTTTTCATTGATGTCCTGCTCCTGGATCTATGGCTGTTCTCACAATTGCTGCACGCTACCATGGCTGTAGTGTTATACACACTTGAAGTGTCAATGCATAATGCACTGTTGTGGTTTGTCTGTAGGTAGTTTGATTAAAATATGTAGGAGTTAACCTGCTATCTGAACTTTTGTGAATGAAAATACGCAACACTCAATATTCCGCTAGCATTGGTAATAGGAGGAGTTTTTATTCCTGTCTGTCGGTAGCATTAAAACCTTAAATTTTTATCTTCTCACAGTCAGAGTTGGAGAAGTGTAAAGATGAGGAGAAGAGGAGAGAACTGGAGAAGAAGAAGAGAGAGTGTGATGAGGTGAATAGTGTTGATACTAAACCGTTGTAGGAACTGGCATGTTCATTATTGACCCTATATGGCATGCCGTATGCCTGTCACTAAACTAGGCCTACATCAAACACCCAGTTTTGTGTTCTAACGTCTGATGGACAGTGTGTAATGGGTCTATAATGTAGTTTTAATACGTCTGTTTTGTACCACAGGTTTCAAAGAAACAAGAGACAGAACAGAGTTAAGGTATGCCACAAGCAGGATAAGAATTATAGAACTATGGGAATTCTGGTCAAGAGATGTATTATTCAGTATGCACAGTACTTGTTGTGTTTGTGTTGTCTGTCTGTGTGTCTTCCTACACTTATTCCGGCACTACAGGCTACGAGGTGCATATGAGTGGTACTAGCAGCTTTAGAGCTACAATGAGGCATGAAGTTATTCCGAATGACAAGTGAAAGCGTTGCTATCCGCACTGGCTTACCTTTACCATGATTTGTAAGGATGGTGTTACTCAGGGATGTGTATCCATTACTCTAAAGTCTACCAACTGATTCAGCAGTGCTCGTTTTTGAGCAAGAAACTGTTGAAGGTTAGACCATGTGCCATGGCCTCCAGAGACACATCAGTTAGTCGTGGTGCTTAATTAATGTGCATGGTAGTATGTTCACATCCAACATGTGAGCTGGCACTGAGGGTTTGCACTTCAGTGCTTTGAATTCTTCCTACTCGTGCACAGTAATAGCATTCACAACCACACCTACAAGCATGCATGTACTTACATGTGCAGAAATTAAGTGAGGTATGCATTTGAGAGCTATAAAATACCCAAAGTACACGTCTACAGTGTGACTTTGGACCAAAGAACTACTACATAGTTCTCCTTGTTGCTAGGACTACGTGTACCTCACTCTATGACTCTCTCTCGCCATAATGCTTAGTGCTATTATATGTTTAACTTAAACTTTCTGACCTGTGTTATATTCCTCCCCTATCATTGTAGGAGATCCCTGATGATATTTCCAGAGAGAGGTATGTAGTTTTGTGCTTAGGTTTTCCCTCCTTCCTATACACAATCATTTTGACACTGATGCACACATCTGATTCTGATGTTGGGACAAAGTTGTTCATTCAAGATTAAGAGTGATAATTCCTGCATGCACATGCAGCAAGAATTCTGAACATGCACTAGTCTCGTACCCAGACCCCCGCCCTCAGGAGAGGAAAAGGGTCTGGTCACTATTGAGCCATTTCTTGGTTGTGCTGACTCATCATTGTCGAGTGCGTGCGCAGAAAAGCCTGTTTTCATTTGTGGACACACAGAGTTCACGGAACTGCTTTACGAACTATTGCATAACATCATGATGTGATATTTCGCTGCGTGGTGTATACTGCAATGAATACTGCTCTATGCAGGAGTGGTGTAAAATGTTGACTAAACCATTCAACCTGCTCTATAGTACTCCTTATCCTTTTTTCACGTGGATAATCTCCACGTTGTCAAAGTCTGTGATGGAGGATCTAATGTTATGTACACAAATCACTGTGCCACCTTCTTTGATTATGATTATCCTCTCATCTCGTGTAGGGGTTGAAGAGTCACTACCAGTCACAGTTAGAGGAGTGTGAGGATGAGGAGGAGGAGGAGAGATCTGGAGAGGAGGATAAGGGAAGGAGGAGGAGGTGATTGAGAGATTGAAACAGGAACTGGAGACCACTGCCAGTGATGATGACAATGACAGAGATGGAGAAGAAGGTAGTGTAAATGATTTGTGAGGGAGTTCATGCAGAAGCTACTAAACACTTGAGGGAAATGAGATAGGTCTATACATTGTGTTCCCTTTCAGCAGAGTGCAAAGGTCGTGATATGTAGTGGAACTGTAGGAGTGTGCTTACCATGACGATCACTGTTTCATCTTCGTTCACAATAGGATTGTAGGTTTCTTTCTGTTTTCCTGTGCCATTAATTACAACAAACCACTTCCTATAATTACAAGGTGAATGTAGGTATTTTTGGCAGCTCTGTGCAGCAGTCCACAAGGCGAGGTCATTCAACCATAGTTCAGATTGAGCTTGTGATCACCGATCTCACTGACAACATAATAATATAGTTAAGTGGTCACCAACAGGGCATCATCTGAAGTCTATTTGACTTCACCTGAACCCTCAAACAAATTGTCATAACTACGTACATCCAATTTTAATGGCACTAATGCCATTGGAGTCCTCGCAACTTTCCTGTTCTGATGATATATCAGACAAAAGCTAGCTGTATGTCTCATAACAAAAGTATGTTTAAGTAAAGTACAGGTACCTGTATAAACAGTTTACACAACCACTTCTGTGGTCATGTAAATTTTACTCCACACAAGCCCCAAGAGTGATCTTGCAGCTATGACTCGTTCCTATGCACGTAAGACTGGTAGCAAATGCCCTCTCTGACAGGTGCTCAGTTTTGAATCGTGACTGCATTTACTTCTCGACTAACAAGTTTTACAATCCTGCTTTCCCTACAGAATTCGTTTGCCAGTCTTCACACTACACTATTCATAACTCATGTCATGAGTAAGAGTGGCGACAATATAGGGCTTGTGTGGAGTAAAATTTACATGAGCAAGAAATGTCAGTTTGAAGATGTAACAATCATCCCATTGTACTACTGCATCACATGCCCAGGTCATCCCTGTCTTGTCTCCTTGCTTTTTATGGCATCCCTATATTCCAAACTTTTTTATTCGCAGAATTTTTTATTTACTTGTCTCCTTTCCTTTTTTGGAATGGAGATGAAATTTAGTACGCACGTGTATTACATCATTTCCAAGACAACTACATGTTTTTCCGTGACAACCACATTTTTTGAACGACAAATAGCCTTTTTCTCTACTCCTCAAACTTGGTAATGGGAGATTGAACTTGGTATGCATGTGTATTACATTGTTTCCATGACAACCACATATTGTTTGAACAACAACAAACAGGCTCAGGCGCTTTTCTTCAAAATTACTTCTTCACTTCTCAAAACTTGCTAACTGTAGCACTCATGGAGATGAAACTTGGTACGCATGTGTATTACATCGTTTCCATGAAGACCACATATTGTAACAACAACAAATAACTTCAGGCATTTACTTCTTCACTCTTCAAACTTGCTAACGGCAGCACACATGGATGAAACTTGGTACGCATGCGCATTACATCATTTCCATGACGACAACTGGGAATTATTTTTTTATAGGGGCTTGCCCCCTTTCACAGTGATAGTAGTAGTATATAAAAATGAGTGGAGACAAGTAAATTAAAAATACTGCAAATTTAAAAAAAGAAGCATATAGGGATGGTATAAAAAGAAAGGGAGACAAGATAGGGATGGGACACATGAAGCATGGTTAATGAACAGATTTGAGCATGCTGACTCCCCCAACCCCATCACACAATCCCTATATTGTTGCCTAGGTGAAGTATTAAACTAGGAATGTTCTGATCCCGATATCCGACTGATCGGCTTCGAAACCCCTGCCAGTTCTCTATAGTAGGTACGCTGAACTTTCCCAGTGACCTAGGGTCTGGATTGTAGCTGGGGGAAGGCTACATCTTCCAGCTGCTGTTACTGCACGTATGTGGAAGCCGTGGCCTGCGTAAACCTGCAGTTGACGTCATCTGCTGTGAGAGCTTTCCAAACACTCGTCACGAAACAGTCTCTGGTTAGAAGCCGCTTGTCTTTGTAGTTGAAAAGCAGTCCCTGGTTTTTACCCCTCTTCGCGAGAGGACAGCATGACCGATACTGGGCACAATTTGTTGCCGGTCTTCCCTATGAAGATCTCCTCCCCTTGTCTAAATAGGTCTGTTTTCAATGCTTTATTGTAACTTTCAGCAGATTGGGGTCTGAGACCACAAAGTTTAGATGTTCTCCTGGGATCATAAGCCGCCTCTGTCGGTACTGTGATTTCGCCATCTCTGAGAAAACCAAAGTAGCATAGGCAGCAGGCCCCCCAGACCATGGTCGCATCGTGACTCTTGCTCCTTTCCTCCCACACCCCCCTCAGCTTGAGGAGGATCTCTGGAATGATGGGCAGCCTGACCAGACTAGATTGGCATGCCTGTGGCTTCACAGGTCTTGAGTATAATCCCGAGATTGTCCTGGCATTCAGGTGACCCTTGCCTCCCCACTGTTACAAAGTCATCAATGTAGTGCTCCACAAATGACACACCCTCTTTCCTCATCAGCCATGTCAGTGCATCAGCCAATGCCGAGAAAATGAGGGGGGGCAGACCTCAGGCCAAATGGGAGGGTTTCAACAACTTGCCCTCCCAGTTCATCCCCAGTAGGAACCTATCCTCTTGGGTGGACTGGCACCATTTTGTATGCCTGCTTTATATCAAGCTTTGCGAGAAGAGCTCCTCTCCCTAGTGCCAGAGCTCTATCGGCTGCCGTGTCCACTGTTATGTAGGATAGGCTGCACAGGTCTTTCTCAATGCCATCGTTGACACTGGCTCCGTCTGGTGAGGAGAGGTCGGCTATTAGTTGCCATTTCCCAGGCTTGTTTTCTTGTGAATTATCCCTATAGGACTGCAATGCACATTCCACTCCGCTGCCTCCTTTTCTGCCAGCTCCACCAGCCTGCCTGCAGAGAGCTCGTCCCTAATGTAGTCGGATACCACGCTTGGCTCCCCGATCCCCACTGTTGCCCACTGCCTGGCGAAGCGGGCGCGATCGTTGGAAGCCAATGCGGAAACCTTGGCTCAAGCCCTGTATCTTGATCTGGGTGACCAGCCAGTTCTTGCTTCCATGGTGGGTGTTTGAATGTGCCTTAGGGCTGGAAAAAGGTCTGGCGGTGCTAGAGGTCTGCATCTATCCAGCTTCGTTAACTGCATTGTGTACTCATACACATATTGTGACCTGCTGACTTCTGAATCCCCATGCTCTGAAAGGTGGGAGTTACTGTGTGCGATGAGGGAAGATAGGGTGTTTGGGGGTGTGTCTGAGAAGGTGGAGAAGGATACAGTGAGCAGAATGCATGAGAGTGATGAAGTGAGTTATGTAAGCATTATGCAAACCACTACGTCATTTCAACTGTCATTGGTTTGAGGTGCCTACATACATATGTTAACAACCTGCAGAGGGAAACACCTCACTCTATATGGCTATACCAGCAGAGAGAGTACAAAATAAGCTCTTTTGGTTATGCTTTCTGTGTTTGAAAAAACGTTTGGAAAAGCAGCAACTGGCAATGTTTATAATTCATTAATATTCATGCGATATGGCTAATACCCCCTTAAGCGTTCACCAACAAAGCATTTTCTAAAGCCTATTTGACTTCACCTGATCCCTCGAAAAACTGTAATTACTCCCTTTTTCATACATCCAATTGTAAAAATGCTCCAACTTCACTGACAATACCTAGTTGCGTGGTCACCGACAGGGCATCATCTAAAGTCTATTTGACTTCACCTGAACCCTCGAAAAATTGTCATAACTACATCCAAAGGAGGAAATTTTGCACGAGCAAGCGATGTCAGTTCAAATTATGTAGCCATCATTCCATTCTACTACTGCATCATGTTCACTAGGTCATCCCTGTCTTGTCTCCTTACTTTTTATGGCATCCCTATGTATATTCCACACTTTGTTAATTTGAAGAATTTTTTATTTACTGGTATAGTTAAGCGTTCACCAACAGGGCATCATGAAGTCTACTGAACTCTCGAAAAATTGTCATAACTACATCCAATTGTAAAAGCACTAATACCATTGGAGTCCTCGCAACTTTCCTGTTCTGATGATATGCTTCACTGCGTTCTAAACCTTATCAGACAAACGCTAGCTGTATGTCTCATAAGAAAAGTATGCTCTAAGTAAAGTACAAGGTACCTGTATAAAACAGTTTACACAACCACTTCCATGGCTCAGGTGAATGCGAATAGACTATAGCTTTGCACGCTGTTTTACTGGCAGACATTGAACTTGTACAAATTTCTTAACAGTGCCTCACTGCTAAGCTGAGCTGAGAGTTAAAAACAATGTA